AAGTGCTCCAAGACACTGTGTGCCACCCTCCCCGAATTATATGCCCTCGTCTGGTCAACCTCCCGCATATACTGAATACCACATATAGTGATACGATCAACCACAGTCCACCTCTCTGGACCCACCCCATCCCCCACCCACTCCCCCCAACTCCATTAATCTTCGATTTTTCTCTATTAACACACATCCCCGTAGCCTTACCAAATACATCAACAAATCTCCCAACAAAACCCAATTGCTCCCTCGTACGTAATAGCACAGTAGTATCATCTACATAACTTACAAGGGCAGGTCGACCACTATTCGAACCTCGAGACGAATCTACTCCCCGCCCACAAACAGCCCAGTAAAAAGGGTCCTGCATTCATGCAAAAAGCATTTGAGACATGGAACATCCCTGTCGAATGCCCCTGATCAAGTGGACAAAAACACCTAACTTCCCATTAATTTGTACTTTAAAACCAGCACCATTGTATAACGAATGGGCCCACGTGACGACTTCATTTCCAAAACCCTGCAATCTCATGAACTTCCACAGCACCTCCCTTTCCACACTATCAAAAGCAGCTTGCCAGTCTAAAGCCAAAACAAATACTCCACCCCTCATTCCGCATTCCTCAACAAACTCCCTGATATTCTCATGACCATCATACATCGACCTACCCGGCATGCCAAACTGACCCTTATGGATTACCTTATCAAATACTTTCTTAATCCTATTCATCAAAATTTTTGCATACAGTTTACAGTCACTACACATTAACGATATGGGTCGATAGTCCTTAATCACTAAAGGTACGTCACATTTTCTAACACCAAAACCGCTGTATGCTGAGACACCCCCAACACCCCCCCCCTCTCCCCTCCTTCATATTATTGAGTAAACGAACCATAAAAGTCTGTATTACCTCTCAATGTTGGATATAAAATTCACATGGGATGCCGTCAATGCCTGGCGCCTTCCCTTTGCTCATTCCCTGCAACGCCTCCCACACCTCAGCCTCAGTTACAGGCCCGTCCATGAGAAGGCGATCATGATCACTCAACTCGCATCGTACACCCAGCCCCAATTCCTGTATCGCATGCTCACTCACATCTTTACTTTGCATTTGGAGCTTACATCATGTATAGACATAAAAACTTATTCCTTCAGTTGTTGTTAAGACCTGTCCCTTACTGTACCCGTCAACTCCATCCTGCACCACTAAACTCACAATTTCAGTCACCTTTCACCTTTGTGCCTGACTACGTAACACACAGGTAGATGGCTTATCACCCCACAAAGCCTCTTCCACCCCACCCAAAATATGCATCCCATCAAAAACCTTATTTTTCAATACCTGGATTTGTTCTTTAAGATCGTCAATCTCGTCCAATGGATAAATCCCAGACGCCTCTCCCTGCGCTTAACAATGCCGTAAATAACCCTCCAGGTACCTCAGAATACCATACTCCAAGTGAGAGGCCTCCTTACCCCGGTGCACATAAAAATCCTTGATTCGAGGCTTCACAACCTCATCCCATTGTCGCACTAAATCCCACCCCTCCCAGGAGTCATCTTGCCATATAGGACAAGTGAAAATTTGTGTATGCAATAATTTCGCCAAAATCGTTCTGAACCTAACGAAAAAAAATATATTTCACTGTGTTTGTTTAGTATTAAATTATTGTAAACAAATCTAAAATATATTTAGTTGGGTTAGGCTAAAATAAATTGCGCTTGTTATAATAAGGTTAGGTAAGTTTTCTAAGTTCCCTTTGGTGCAAAATTATAAATTTCTATATCAACATTAATGAAAAGATATATCTTTAAACGTATAAGAGAAAATTTTTGAAAGGACTTAATTTTAAATGAGTTCTTGCTAATTGACCAGTTTTACATATTCGGCACGACATATATATATATATATATATATATATATATATATATATATATATATATATATATATAATATATATATATATATATATATATATATATATATATATGCCGAATATGTAAAACTGGTCAATTAGCAAGAACTCATTTTAAATTAAGTCCTTTCCAAAATTTTCTCTTGTACGTTTAAAGATATATTTTTTTCATTAATGTTGAAGTAAAAATTTTTAATTTTGCACCAAAAGAACCTTAGAAAACTTACCTAACCTTATTATAACAAGAACATTTTATTTTAGCCTAACCCAACTAAATATATTTTAGATTTGTTTACAATAATTTAATACTAAACAAACACAGTGAAATATATTTTTTTCGTTAGGTTCAGAATGATTTTGGCGAAATTATTACATACACAAATTTTCACTTGTCCTATATGGCAAGATGAGCGTTGCTATTTAAGCCAAGATCACAAGTTCTGCCTATTCGGCACGACATATATATATTATATATATATATATATATATATATATATATATATATATATATATATAATATATATGTATATATATATATTTATGTGTGTATGTGTATGTATGCGTGTACGTACTCACCTAATTGTGGTTGCCTGGTTCGAGACTCAGTTCCTGGCTCCGCCTCTTCACTGATCGCTGCTAGGTCCTCTCTCTCCTCCCTGAACTTTGTCATACCTCGTCTTAAAACAATGTATGGTTCCTGCCTGCACTACATCACTTGCTAGACTATTCCACTTCCTGACAACTCTATGACTGAAGAAGTACTTCCTAACATCCCCTTCAGCTTCTAGTTGTGACCCCTTGTTTCTGTGACCCCTCTCTGGAACATCCCCTCTCTGTCCACCTTATCTATTTCACGCAGTATTTTGTATGCCGTTATTATGTCTTCCCTATCCCTCCTGTCTTCCAGCATCGTCAGGCCGATTTCCCTCGACCTGTCTTCGTAGGACATTCCCCTGAGCTCCAGAACTAACCTTGTTGGAAACATTTGCACTCTCTCTAATTTCTTGACGTGTTCGACCAGGTGTAGGTTCCAAACTGGTGCTGCATACTCCAGTATGGGCCTGATTTACACAGTGTACAGAGTTTTGAACGATTCCTTACTAATGTAACGGAATGTTATTCTCAAGTTTGCCAGGCGCCCACATGCTGCAGCAGTTATCTGGTTCATGTGTGCTTCCGGAGACATGCTCGGTGTTATGCTCACCCCAAGATCTTTCTCCTTGAGTGAGGTTTGCAGTCTTTGGCTATTACAACCCAGGAACAAAAAGGCCTGCAATCCTGGGTGTAAAGGGGAGCAAGGAGCAGAACAAACAGCTGAATGACTTTGAATTATATTTTCCTTCACTACGTGCAATTATAATTATTTACAAGTATGTACACTATACACTGTTGGAAATGTATGTGTACAACATGATAAATTAAGAGGCAAAGAGACAGTCTGGAGACAGAATGGACAACAGTGTTCAACCAGCTCTAGAATGGAAATGACGAGGGTGAAAATTGGGTTGGGCAAATGTTTTGTTAGTGGGATGGATTGTAAAGGACCTGCCTAGTATGGGCCAACAGGCCTGCTGCAGTGATTCTCTTTTCTTATGTTCTTATGTTCTTATGAAATGTGGGTGGTGACCATGCCACCTCCACAATTGCCAGACCCACCTTCTCATTGGCTGAACCTAGATACTGATTTCACGATGGGGCCCCATCGTCCGACCCTTAGCACCCGGTTCGCTGGTTGGGGAGGTAGTCTTTTAGTGTGTACATGCGCCAAATAAAGGTTACATTGGCCATCTAGCCTATACTCTTACTGTGGTCTGCTTTGTCCTTCCCCAATCTTCATGACTTTGTGTGTGTGTGTGTTTGTGTGTGTGTATGTGTGTGTGTGTGTGTGTGTGTGTGTGTGTGTGTGTGTGTGTGTGTGTGTGTGTGTGTGTGTGTGTGTGTGTGTGTGTGTGCAAGACAAGGCACTGGGGGTGGAAATCTTTTAGCTCAAGTGCTTTCACGCTTCTCAGTGCGTCATCAAGAGCTATGCAATGTTGCAAGAGTAGCAACTGAAGAAATGAAGTTTTCTCAGAGTAGGGTAGCATGGGGTGGCACCAGCTCCAGCTTCTCTCAGAATATGAGAGGAACCGGCTGACTGCCACCTACCCAACCTGGCACAACTTCATATGATATAGGGTGGACATGGGCCTCCAGGTTTACAGAGAGCGGGAAACAGAAAAAAAAAGATGTAAGAGCCAATCTTAATCTTCTTTTAATTGCCGAAAACAACTCAAGTGACATAAGAGATTATGTTGCAATAGTGGATGATACACATGCGGAATGCTGCTATTATGTGTATAAGAAATAAATGAGCTCCTTTGTCAGCTTACACCATACGGTACCGGAGATTCTAGAATGTTCCAGGAAATACTCGGTAGACTCTCATCATATATCCCTAAATATTGCCTACCAATATTCTCAGTATCGATTAATATGACTGTGTTATTTGTGAATCTTCGATAATATTTCGATAATATTCCTATAGTATTCCAGTTCATGAATTTTCGAATATCCTTTAAGTCCGCTAACAACCTAACTCTGTAATCCACTAAGGTAGTTACAGTCACCATGTTACAGTCAACAATGTCAGCTCTTGTAGTGACCCACCATGGTGGGCAGCGGCCCACCATGGTGGGCCGCTGCCCAGATAATTGTACCCAACAGTTCTGTCACAGAATGAAACATAACTGAATCCTCTATCTTGAAACATGATAGGAATGCCGTATATAACTCAAATTATGGGTGTACAGTAGGATGACTCCAGTGTCCTGCCTTCATCTCCTTAGAATAAGTCACAAGATAGTGACTTCTGCTGCGGCAATTACAGTTGCTGATTGCCTTAGGTGTAATGCTGGGAACTATATTTACCCCGAGGTCCTTCTCTTTCAGGAAGCTTTGAGGTCTTTATCTCCCCTGAGCTGTACTCTATTTCCGGTAATCTTTGCCTGTCCTCCATTCTCAAAACTTTCTCAAAGTCAAATGAAATTAAAGTTCCACTAGAAATTTCAGAGATAATCAAAGTGGGCCAACTCTTATTCGCATTAAAATGTTATCAATTTCTCAGCCGCAATAGCTGGCGTGTCTGGCATCCTCCTGGGCACACTGGCTGGCCAGCTGGGCAACGTTTTCCATGTAACAAACAGTGTGTCTGGCGCCATCCTCGGCCCGTTGAACGGAGTTTTTCTTGCTGGCATCTGTGCACCCTGGGTCAGCACTAAGGTAAAATAAAAATTATTTAAGACATCATAATCCATTACAATTTCTTGAGTGAGAGACGAAGGTAGAGCCGAGTGAAGGTAAAACAATGTCTTATAACCACTTGTGAATGTTTAAAGTTCACACAAGTATAAATTACACACTCAACAATGTCATTATTTCTCTTCTTTAAATTGTCATCGTGTTCTTCTAAACTCGAGTAACATTTTCAAAGTGACACAATAAGGTACCAATCAGAGTGGTTTCAATATTTTTTTTAGGATGTTTTTTTAATTATATCCTGTATACTATGTCGCGCCGATTAGGTAAATCTTGCGATTTTTTGACTTAAATAGCAACGCTCTTCTTGCCGAATAAGGCAAGTGAGAATTTGTGTATGGAATAATTTCGCAAAACTCATTCTGAATCTAACGAAAAAAATATATTTCATTGTGTTTGTTTATTATTAAATTATTGTAAACTTACCTAAAATATATTTAGTTGGATTAGGCCCAATTAAATTGCCCTTGTTATAATAAGCTTAGTTAAGTTTTCTAAGTTAATTTGGTACAAAATTACATTATTAAATTTGACATTAACCTAAATGGAAAAAAAAAATATTTTTGAATGTATAATAGAAAATTTTAGAAAGGACTTAATTTTAAATGAGTTCTTGCTAACTGACCAGTTTTACCTATTCAGCACGACATATATAAATACATATTGTAAAGGACCTGCCTAGTATGGGCCAACAGGCCTGCTGCAGTGTTCCTCCTTTCTTATGCTCTTATATTCATTTTACACAGGGGGCTGTGGCGGGTTTCGTCACGGCTTTCGTTTACAACATGTGGCTGGTGATTGGCAAGTTTGTACGTGGTGGAGGATCTCCACCACGATTACCCTTATCCACCTCAGGATGTCCGGAGAACCTGGCAAACAATACTAACTCTACCCTCCTGACTCTGCTTACCAGCGCATCAAGTAGCGCTCTGCTTCCCAACCTTACTACCACTCCTCAGTTAGTTGAAATATTTTTTTCAAAGCTTAACTCATTAATACATATTTTAGTTAATATCAAATTAGTCTTTCAGTTTATGTTTTAGCAGAGCTTTCTCTGACTATCATAATTACGTTCAGTTTATAAGATTCTGCTCACAAGTGATCATTGAAACAGAGGAAAGATATCATACCTAGAGTATACCTGGAGAAGGATTCGGAGGTCAACGCCCCCGCGGCCCGGTCTGACACCAGGTCTAGTTTTGGATCATGGTCTGATCAACCAGGCTGTTACTGCTGGTCGCACGTAAACCGACGTAAGAACCACAGTCCGACTAATCGGGTACTGTCTTTGGGTGCCTGTCCAGCGTCTTCTCGATGATAGCCAAGGGTCTATTGGTAATCCCCCTTAAGTATACTGGGAGGCAGTTGAGTAATCTTGGGCCCATGACACTTACTGCGTTGTCTCTTAGTGTACTCGTGGTGCCCCTGCTTTACAATTGGGGAATGTTACATCTCCTGCCGAGCCTTTTGCTTTCGTAGGAATAATTTCGTGTACAAGTTTAGTAACAATCCTTCTAGGAATTTCCAAGGGTCTTCAACCGTTCCCAGTAATTCAGGTGCTTTTTCGTACTTATGTGTGTTGTGAAAGTTCTTTGTACACTCTCTAGGTCAGCAATTTTGCCAGTCTTGAAGGGGGCAGTTAGTGTACAGCAGTATTCCAGCCAAGAGAGAGCAAGCGATTTGAAGAGAATCGTCATGGGCTTGGCGTCCGTAGTTTTGAAAATTCTCATTATTCATCCTATCATTTTTCTAGCAGATGCAGTAGATACATTGTTGTGGTCTTTCAAGATGAGATCCTCTGACATTATCACTCCCAGGTCCTTCACATTAGTTTCTCGCTCTATTATATGGTTAGAATTTGTTGTATATCCTGATACAGTTACAATTTCCTCAAGTTTTCCATATCTGAGTAGTTGAAATTTCTCTTCATTGTACTTCATATTGTTTTGAGCGGCCCATTTGAAGATTTGGTTGATGTCTACTTGGAGTCTTGCTGTGTCTTCGATGGAGGTCACTGTCATGGCAATTCGGATGTCATCCGCAATGGAAGACATGGAGCTATGACTAACATCTCTATGTCAGATGTGAGGATGAGGAACGGGATGGAAGCGAGTACTGTGCCTTGTGAAACAGGGCTTTGCACTGTAGCTGCCTCAGACTCTTTGAATTTTAATTGTTAGGAAGTTATAGATCCATCTACCAACTTTTCCTATTGCATTTTTTTATGTTACTACACCGTGGTCGCACTTGTCGAAGGCTTTCACAAATTCTGTGTATAATACACCTGCATTTGGTTTATCCTGTAAAGCATCCAGGACCTTGTCAAAGTGGTCCAGTAGCTGGGACAGGCAGGAGTGACCTGCTCTAAACCCGTTTTGCCCTGGGTTGTGTAACTGATGGGTATCTAAATGGTTGGTGATCTTGCTTGTTAGGACCTTTTCAAAGAATTTTATGATATGGGATGTTAGCGCTGTCGGTCTGTAGTTCTTTGCAATTGCTTTACTGCCACCTTTGTGGAGTCGGGCTATGTCTGTTGTTTTTAGTGAGTGTGGGATGACCCCTGTGTCCATGCTCCCTCTCCATAGAATGCTGAAGGCACGTAAATGGGCTTCTTGCAGTTCCTGATTAAAACGGAGTTCCAGAGTTTACACTAATTATATTTTCCATGAGCTTTATTAATTTTCTGTTTGCTTAGAAAAAAGTTTTATTTATTGCATACTGTTTACGACCCATCATATATAATCTACTAATCATAAAGGAAACGTCTTCCTCGCTTCAAATGAAAATAAATAAATATCATGAATGCATAGATAAAGGACTTAGTCACTTAGTAGTTTTCAGATTTAATTTGTGAAAACAACAGATTCTCCCCGAACATCTTAGGGACAAAGTTGGAATCCATGAGCAAAAGTTGGTTGACAGAGTCACACTCTGGGATAATATAATGGGATCTGAAACCAGACCTGCGCCCCCCAACAACTTAACTATTAAGCTGTGGCTTAATAGTGAAAAAAATATAGCCTTAACAATGCTTCAGAGCGTTAGCTGTTGACAACTCCAGCCTTGGCACACACTTTGATCTACAGACCATCAGCATTGGTGTCACCCTTCGACTTACCGCATCTATTCTCGACGAATACAGGTGCAATTGCGGCAGTGAATCGGTAAACCGATTCGGGTATCATGGTCTTGTGTGCCGTAGATGCAAGGAAAAGATTGCAAAGCATGAAGAGGGTAATAACATCAAGAAGAGCCTCGCGACAGCCTTATGCCCAGCAATAATATACCCACCCCAATATGCAGATAGGATGGTAACCAGAAGTGCCCAGTGGTATCACCCTTCAATCCTGGACAGACGGCAAGCAGGTGGTGTGGGGCTATACATGTGCATCTACACTGGCTGATACCTATCGTCAATGCACCAGCGAGAAAGGAGGGGCAGCTGCCAGCTTTAGGGA